GATAAAGTATAATTCATTACTTTTAAATAATTAAACATTTAAATTAAGATATTATAGGACTGCAGGAATTCTGGACTATAGATACAGAACTTGATAGAGAATGAGCTGATTCTCTGGGAACTGTAACATAATTTGGAATATCAATGTTCTAGTCAAACAAGCAATTTCCGCTTTGTTTCATGTGGTTACCTGGGTTCTCTGACCACAAGCAGCAATGAAGAAGTGATAGACCAATGAACCCTACTACAACCATAGACTCATGTGCACCAAGGATGAGCAAAGTTTAGGTAACAAAGTGCAGAAAGAAGCAGGCATAGACTACCTACTACCTAATTTTTAATCCATGTTTATACGTCCCAAATGGCAGGAATATTTGGTCTCTTAACTCCCTGCCACCATTTGTGCAGCAGGATATCCACTTGGAAGCAGACCACAATCACCAGTCAGCCCTGCCACCACCTAGTTCATCTGTCAGCCACAGAAATGTTTTGGCCACCACCACTGGGTTTATTTTTTCCAGTGAGATAAGGCAACTGACCCTGCAATTCTAATGAGTGGTATAAAGTAAGCTGATGGATTCTGAATATCATTCTTATTGTCTAAATTATTACATCTTTTTCTCTTCAACTGGATTAACTAACAACAAAAAAAGTGTTTCAATCATGATACGTTAAGTAACAAGTTTAGATAACTATAAGGCTCCCATATGTGATATAAGTTTCTAGACATCCATTTCACATTAATAGTTCTGTCATCTAAAGGAATGTTTACTGTTTTTATTGTCATGACACAAATTTCTAATTTTATGTGTTTATCCCCAGTTCTAAAGTTTGAAGACACACACATAATCACCTGAAGAACTTTTCTTTTCTTTCCTTTTTTTTTTTTTTGAGACAGTCTCGCTCTGTAGCACAGGGTAGAATGCAGTGGCGTGATCTCGGCTCACCGCAACCTCCACCACCTGGGTTCAAGCAGTTCTCCTGCCTCAGTCTCTCAAGGTAGCTGGGATTACAAGTGTGCCACCACGTCCAGCTAATTTTTGTATTTTTAGTAAAGGGGTTTCGCTGTGATGGACAGGCTGTTCTTGAACTCCTGGCCTCATGTGATCTTCTTGCCTCAACCTCCCAAAGTGCTGGGATTACAGGCATGAGCCACTGCACCTGGCCCAGGAACTTTTTAAACATGCCTGTGAGCAAGGGGCTCCCCAAAAGGAATAGAATCAGAGTACCTGGTGGTGAGTCCTGGCATCTCTATTTTAGAAAAAAGTTTACCTCGCTTGACCAGTTGCAACTTTTGTGCTTCTAAGAAGTATCTGAATAGCTTAGAATAGCACCTTGGGATATCTACTACCCTGGGATATTACTAATCTTAGTTTTTACTTAGGAATAAGTGAGTATAATCTTGTTTTGCTTTTTAAATTTCATTGTTATTTTGGAGTCTGTGGAGAAAAAAAAATTTTAATTGGTGTTAAAGCAATTCATCATATGAAACAGAATATGAGAATAATTTGACTATTCAAATTTCAAACTGTTGTGTTAATAGTAATTAAATTGTTAATCATTGAGCCATGTCTATGCCAGGCACTGTGCTAGGGTGCTTTACATACATTATCTCATTTAACCTTCACAGTAACCGCATAAATACAAGTTGGAAATGCTCTCACTTTACACTGGAAAAATGGAAAGCTCAGACAGATTAAGTAACTTATCCAAACTCACAGCTAGTTAGCGGGACCACAATTTGAATGTAGGTCTTTAGGATTGCAAAAATCCACAATTTTAATCTCTCCATATGTAATTCAAGAATCCAAAAGAACCACAGTTAAGGCAAATAGCTTCTTTGACTATGACCAAAAAAAAATAATAAATTTAAAAATCAAATAAAATAAATTGGGTTCCTTTCATTACTGACACTTTGCTTGCCTGTGCACACAACTCGACTCTTGGTTAATCACCAATTAGCTCAAACAGGTTAATCACCTCTTGACCAATCTGTTTGAAACTGGTCAATTCAGTAGAAACAATCAAGCTGGCAGCAGTTTTGAATAGCTGCCTCAGGAAAATGGTTCCTTCAGTTCTGGATTGAGACATGGGGTTGGGATAACTCACACTGCCAATGTTTCCAGGGAAAATATCCAATGCAAGGAGGGGGGAAAAAACAATTAAAACTAAAAAACGAGGGAACATCACATATCTATATGTTTGTGACTATGTTTTTTAGCATAAATATTCCTCAATAGTTATTGTACATACATGTAAATGGGTATAATGAATATATGTATGTGGATATGTATACACACACACACACACACACAGATTACCAGCAGGTGAGCATAAATTAAACCAAGTGTGAATCCTGTTATTTTTTAGTCTTTCTTCCACACCTGGTGAATTTAAACCCCTATAGGTCATCTTGTCAAAATACAATTTAGTTCTGAAATAAAAGAACGGAAACAAACACAATCCATTAAAACTCACTGCCAATGTTGCCAGATAACTACAAAAAAATAGAGTGTCTCAGGCAGAAATATCAATAACTTTAATGCGTGCGATTTGTTAACAGGGAAGAAAACAAGCAAACTTGCTCTCCGCTGACTGTCACTAATATTTATTCGTCCAGTGACTGTTAATCAAACCAAGTTTACAGTCCCGTACAGCACCTGTCACAGGTGCTGATCATTAATCAGCTATTACAGCAGTTTATTCTGCTGCTGACAACTCGCAATTTTCCACTGATTCAGCTAGTTTGTCAGGTGGGAATTATGGCATAGCGCATGTGACAAAACACATCACCCTTTTTTTTTGCATTTTCAGGCTTCTCTCTCCTGCTTTCTCCCCCTTTTTAGACAAACAATATCTGGGAACTCAGAAGTAATAAGGCGGAATGCATAATTAATTACCCAGCTTGCTCTAATTAGGGATGAATAAGTTGTGTCCCTCTCATCATCACAAATGTGGTGATGGGTAATACCAGTTTATGCTGTATTAACTGCAAATATGCAATCCTTCTGAGAGCACTTTTGTTGATGAATTTGATGAATGTGACAATAATTAGCAGAGACAGATGAGAGCTAAATTACTACTGACAATGTAATGCTATCCTGCTCGAGGGCCTGGGAACGTGGCAGGATAACATGGCAGGGACCTGGGCCTCATTTCTAATTAATAGTCTTTTTTTCTTTTTCTTTTTTTTTTTCTTTTTTTTTTTTTTCTTTTTGCCAGTGGGGGAAAAAAGGAGTAACGGTAATTGTTTTCGTCAAAGGCTGCAGGGAGTTATCAGGGTAATAAAGTTAATTAGCAGAACAAACATCCTTTCAGGGCCTTACCAGTCTGAGGAAAAGAGGGTAATTCAGACTGCAGAAAGATATGACTAGATGGGATGATAAGAAAAGAAATTTTACACAGGAGGCCAACAGAGAAGAATGATTTTCTCCCTTCATTTATTTGGCTTGATGCATGGAAAGAAATTAGACAGCCTCTTCTTTCAGGTCACAAAGTTGCTCATGTAAAGGACTTTGTTGTTATAATTTTGAGTTTGGGAAATAAAGTTAGCTTAGATAAACTCCACTGTTTACTTCGTTCTTTTCTAGGTGGTGATAGGTTTGTTCAATTTTATCTTTATTCAAGTGGCATTTTCCTAATGTCCCAGGCATAGGAGTTCTAATATTTGCCAAAGAGAACATTTGGCTGCACTTTGTCTTCCAGAAATCTGTTTTGTTCTCTGAATCTTTTGGAAAAAGTAAGAAATTGCTCAGCAATTTCCACGAAGTAGTACTCTTTATTTTCCTGTGTAAATTTAAAAACTAAAATGAGATTTTTAAATGTATGTTATCTAATTCTATTTTTGTAACCTCAAAAGTCATCTTTATTAAAATATGGCAATATTATTTTTCATTTCTGTCTCAGCATTTTAGATATATGAGTCATCAACCAAAAAGGTGCATAGTTCAATGAATCTCAGTTTTGCATGTAGCTGTATTCAGTTTGGTCACATTGCTTAACATAAGTAGATACAACATAATGGGAAAACATCCACCAGACATTCTGAAGACTTTGCAGGTTTATTTTTTCCTGTGAAGATCATAAGTGGTTGGCCGCCTTCAAACATCATACACCTGAAATGACTGTTTAGTATTAAGTAAATAACACTAGGATAAAAGCCTGAAGCTTCTAAAATAATATCCGTAAGAAAGTGTCTAGTATTTTTATTCCTTTTAGGTACATTTCCAAAAATTTTCATTTTATGCTTCATAAATCATTACATAAGTTCTACATATTTCCAGGCATATAAATGTGCACGCATTCATTTGTTGTTAGAGCTAAATGAAACACATTTCACATGACTCTGTGCTTAATTATAAGTTAAGAACATAAGGAGTTAAGTGGTGAATTTCTACTTTTGTGTTTGACAGTATGGCACCAGGCTGACTTTTCAAAAGAATCCTATATGGATAGACTTCCATGAAAAATGGGTGAAATTTCTAACAAAATGGCTTTTATTCCTAACATCCATATTACTAAGTAATGTACTAGTCCCTAAGGACAAAAGTAGTATGGAGGACATAACATTGAACTGACTGAGTTCTTTACTGGCTGTGCTACCACATGTGTATGATTTCCATTGTCCTGTCATGTCCCTTATCATTGATTTGCTCATCTATAAAACTGGTTACCCTGCCCTGCCAACCTGATAGGATTGCTATTGAGCATACACACAAACACACACACGCGCGCACACACACACACACACACACACACACTTAGATTGCTATGTTTTACCTTGTATCCTTAGCAGCATTTTTAATTTTTTGCCATATAATCAAACTTTATCTTTAAGTAGGAAAATTCTAGAACTAAAAGAAGCATTCCATGCTACTTTCCAACAACGTGTAACATTTTAAAACAAGTTCACTTACCGAAAGGGAGACAAACTATGAAAGAAGTAACACAAAAACACAAATGCAAAATTGCTTTTTTCTAGAAATGGTCTAAACTTTTTATTGTGAGAGAAAGAATAACAGGGAACACATTTGTTTGTTTCCTTTGGGACCTAGGACAAATATATTGAATATTCTGGTCCTTTCCCCTCTAGCCACTACTTCCTTCATTGGACTGCAAGGTTTTCCTGTTTGGAAAAGTAATGGAGTCCAGTCAACTTCATTGATCTCCAAGGACTATCAAAATTATAAAACTTGCCGTGGAGCTCTGACATGCCAGAAGCCGCTAGAAAAAGAAGTTTGACATTCAGAAACTTACCAAGAGGTTCTACTCTTTGGATAGAGACCAAAATAATACTTTGAAGTAAGTAGTAATTTCCAATATTAGCCCACTGGGTGAGCTAAAAATGCCTTAGTTAGATTTGCCAGAATTAGAGATTAGATTTGTTAGAATTAGGGGTTCACTAATTAGATGCCCTAGGCACTAGCCATATGTACTATTGGTATTATTATGAATCTTTAGGAATTTAATTCTTTCTTTGCCTTTTTTACTCTGAATTCCTAAGTCATTATTTTAAAGAGTATTTTGACCAATACCCGGTTTATAAGGGTCCTGGGGCATTTTTGCTTCTTGTATGAGTTCAGAGGAGTGTTAGTTGGCTAACTAATTACAAGGGACTAAAAATAAACCATGGTTTATTATTTTCCAATTTTGAATTACAAAATTATTTAAATGTCTGTAATCGAAGTGCTACATCACTGTGTAATGAAATTACAATACTGCTTAATGACATTAGGAAACTGCATGCAAAAAAATATTTGTACACAAGGTGGTGATGTTAGCAACCAACTACAGTACTTTTATTCTGCTAAAAACCACAATAAATAACAACAGATTACTTTCCCTAAGTGATCCCCAAAGGGCACGTTTAGTTGTTCATATAATGATGGCATGTAAGGACACAAAGCCACATGGAAAACCTGTCAGCATATGTCATTAGAGTAGCAGAGAAAAAAGAGGAAAAACGACAAATCACGAAATAGAGAATAACTGCTAAAGAGTAAAATTATGTTTACAAGTAGTAAAGATTCAAGAATTCAGCCCTTAATACATAAGTTTCTACTGACTCCTATTTAGATATGTATGTCCAAAGAGCTACATTCTAAGTGTAAAATTGTCTACTTTCCAGACAGCTTTCTGTCTGAAAACTTTTGCCTCCCAAGCTTCCCCCTGCCTTTACAGATAGGTTTCCTGATCCCAGTCCTAACTACAATCTTGGTCCACTGAGGACAGCATCTTTCCCTCTATTCATGTTCCTTGTGCGCAAATTCAAGTTTTTATGTTTTTATTAGTATAATTCAGAGCAATTAAAAATCAAAGATGTGAAAATAATTCATAAACATTATTTCTCATGAAATATTTGACCTTATCAATTCTAAAATAGAAACTAATACATGCCAACATTAAAACCAGTTCATATTTCTTGTAAAGTGGTACATTAATAATGACCTCTCAGGCATAAGTAATTAATTTTATTATATTTATCCCCAAAATTCATGTATTTGCTATAGTGAAATGTTTTTATTCTCAGATACTTTTTTAAAGTAAATGATGTCATCAGCAGAAACACAGAACTTGTTGGCTACAAGGTAGAAAGCATATGTGCCATGAACCAAAAAGGTAGGAAGGTGTATTTTCAATTTTAAGATTCTTCTCTTAAGATGAAAAGAGCTGCAATTGTTTTTGTAAGTAAGAAAGCAAAATATCTGTTCTTGAATTATCTAAGGATGAGTCAGAAACTTAAAGCCAAAGAAAAGTAATAAATAATGACAACAGATGTTTGTAAACCTGTGCTCCCCTGTTCAGTGTTTGTATGTGTTGTTTTGCCTTGATGTGCTGTCAGCAGCCTCTCACCTGGGAGTAGTGATATCTTATCAAAGCCCAAACAGTTCCTCTTCACAACAGACAGATAATAGTCCCTTTCAATTTATCATACTGGAAGTCTAAAAGAACCATGGGAACGATTGGTCAGGTGACAGCTTGATGGACAGTTTGACAGCCCTTAAAGCATCATGGGAAATGGTTGTCACCTGATTTTCAGAGCGACCAGAGAGATAACCTTCAGAATGATGAGGGAAACAAAAATCTGAATATGTGTATAAGATCCAGTGGCAGCCTCAGTGCTCACTTAAGTGATAATAGGTGTGAATTTAGATGACTCAAAATGTTGTTATCAAACCTGAGGGGTTTTCCAAGTCCAGAAGTGCCCATCATCTCTTTAGATGCCTTTTACATTTTTATTCAAATGTCATTTCAAAAATATATACATAATATAGGGCTTTCATTTTAAAGAGACACAGTCAAACGTACTAAATATTTAACCACATGTTAAATATATTAGCTGACCATTAATATTCTCCGGATTTCAAGTCTGCTTTCTTTTTGACAAACTCCTTGTACACCATATCCTAAATATAGTTTGCATACTGCAGTACTGATTAAGAAAGCTATTATAGACAAATCATGTAGATCAAATTTTACAGATGGGACTCAGACTCATGAAGACCGGTGTAGTGTTAGTGCAAAAAAACAAAATAAAAGAAATAAATTTGAAGATCTCAGGCACAAAAACCTTTGAATCTATATTAATTCACTCATGCAGCCAACAAACATAAATTGAGCACTTACTACATGCAAGGGTCTCTGCTGGACATATAAAGACGAGAAAAATAAAAGCCCAGTTTTCAACAGCTCACAGCTGGTGATGGCAAAAGAAATCATCAGTCCAAATCCACTGCCTTTTAATTGGTAAGGCTTACACACAACTGCTGACAACAGCGTCCCTTCCGTATTTTCTCTTGTATATTGTATATGCTGTTTACAATAGTTTTGTGGTCTGACCTAAAGACATACTCCCTGGAAATTGGGATTCCACAGGAAAAAAATAATAAGGATTCAGTGTTTATACATTTATTGAGTGCACTCCAACTTTGAAGAATGATTTCAGAAACGGTAAGGAAGTAAAGAGACTTGAGATGAAGTTCCCACAATTGAGTAGGACCCTAAACCTCACAAACTCTCTGTTCCTTAGATATTTGAGCTACTTTTTTTTCCAGAGCATACACTCAAAAACTTAATTTTAAAATCATATTGAATATACAGAAAATCTAGAATAATACAAAAAACTCCTTTATACTTTTATTTCAAAATTTATTAATCATTAACATTTTATCACATTTGTTTTTATCATTCCAGTTCTCTCTCTCCTTCTTTCCTTCCCTTATCCCCATTTAGCTATCTATATATTTTCCAGTAATGTTAATAGGGAGAAATGTGAACAGATTTGTATCTAATTTGTCTTTATACTTCTTCACAAAGCCTGGCAACTGCCTTGTATATATGTAATAAATATTTATGAATGAATGAATGATGAATAATATTCAACCTAGATCTTGTATTTGATCTTTTAGACTTGTGTTTATACATACATATAAAATGTACTTATTATTTTTCTAAACATATGTAATATTTCATAAAATACTAATCTACTCTCCAAAACTGTGTCTGATCAATGGGTCTAATAAACAAATAACATAAAAATTTTTTTTATTGCAGCAGGAATGTCAAGTGACTTCCCAATGAAAGTAAAAGATAAAAGCTTTAGGTGCTGCTGGCTCTTTGTCCTGCTCTGGGACAACTATAGATGCTGGCCAAACAAAAAAAAAAGCAAGGATTTAAAACAGAAACTGTCTTTCTGAAAAACACTCTAGCACCATTGTTGAAATTGGTACCATTTGGCTGCTTGACACTTTTGGGGTAACACTCTGCTTTCACAAATTTTGATGCTTTGGACTCACATTCCAACCTGATTTTTCAAATCTAGTTGTGCTAAAGCCAGACAAGACAGACAAATAGTGAGAGCACCCTCCATATTTTCCAGGGAACTGAAAAAGAGCCAGTAAATAATTTAAATAACTCTTACCAACAAAATATTCTACGTGTAATTCTTCACACGAAGACACATTATTTGGAAAAATATGAATCTGAAGTTTGCAAATGAAAAACAAAATGCTTTTGAGTACCATATGCAAATTTAAATACTTGGAGAGTGATAAAAACACATTGTGCTTATTTCAAATTGGGAGGGCAAGATGTGGGAGGGAGATGTGTCATAATTGATACGTGGACAAGGTCCAAGATGCTACAGAACAACTGAATTCAGAATCATTTCTGAATCAGAGCTGTGGTTTAAAATGCTTTTCCTTTCCTTGTTGAAATAAACCCATGGAACATCAAGTTATAACAAGTCCCAGATGTAGTCCCTAGTTCACCTGATATGAATTAAGTTTCATTGTTAACAACTAATGTCCTTATTTAAGCCAACGAAATAAGCTAAATATAAAGCCAGCACCAAGCCTCATAACATGTTTCATAGTAATGCCAAAATCTGTGGTCTGGAAACTTAGAATAAATACTAAATGCTAAATTTTCAATCAGACACACATTTTTCAGAAAAAAAAAAATCAGACAAAAAATTCCACAAAAAGAAAAAAAAAAAAAGCATTAGTTAATTCATAAAACCATACGACTTGAAAAATATTATATGCACTTTTCCATTATGCATTTAAAAATATAAGGTCAGCTTGACGGTTAAGCAGCATTTTGGAGGGCATAAAAGTCTTATATTATTGGCTAATGTAAGTTATATGAATTGCGGACTTTTTAAGCACCATGTATACTTAGAGTGTATAAAGTTGGGGATCTTTTGATTCAAAGCATGTAAGTTCTACTGTTTAGATTCTTCCACTAAGGTATAACAGAGTCTCCATGTGAGACACAAAGGAAACCGTGTGTCTTGTGACTCAGATTAGGGTTTTTAAGTTATTTATATTAACACTCTTCTGTCAAGGCATGTACACTATTCTTTAAATGTGGGAAATTCTGGATTAATTTCTCTTATTTTTCTGATTTCATCTTTCCAAATTTGGTAAGTCTTGGTATTCTAAACACAAAAAGCTTTTCGTTAGGTATCTTATTTTATATAAATTTTTTGTCATTTAATTACTTTTAATGATTAAACAACATGTCGCTTACACAATTAGAAAATGGTGTTAAGGTTTTGAAATCTTCTGAACTTGTCATATTTATTCCATACCTTTCTAGTAAACTGGAGGCTTGTCAGAGTAGTGAATAAATGAGTATGCTGTTTTCTTTAAAAAAAAAAAAAAAAAAAAAAAAAGGTATTTAGAAATCCATCTGATTTCTTCAATGCCAAAAAGTAACCATTGAGAACCATTAAGAATTATACCTGAGGCTTAATACCTAGGCGATGAAATGATCTGTGCAACAAACCCCATGACACAACTTTTCCTATATAACAAATCTGCACATTGTACCCATAAACCTAAAATAAAAGTTAAAAAAAAATGTTACCCTGTTGTTACAGCTTTTATGACTTCTTTACAGCTAAAAATGTTTGTTGTCATAAAAATATGAAAATTGAGAAAAACAGGGGGCTATGGCAGGATATCTCACTAATACTATTTTAAACATTTGCTATTACATTATTTAAGCTAATTGGATAAATAGGATTTATCCAATTACTCTTCAGAGTTCTGATTTATAATTATTCAGAGATTTATGATAAAATTTCTGAACTTCATATATTCTGAATTATCATAGGATTATCAAAATAGCACCTTACATGGTTCAACTTTCACTTGTACTAATTCATTCTCATACATAACTCTTTTGAAGGATGTGAAAGGCAAAAAAAAAGATGTTAGATTTAAAGTAATTCTTAGAATCTAAGTAGTGTTAGTACCTACATTAGCACATCTTTTTTCCTAGACTTTTTAACTATAATGAAAACTCAAAGTGGAAAGTGAAATTATGCCCAACCAAGTAACTATTTTGTGTGCATTATATCAAATAAACTGTTTGACTTTTTCCACTGATTATGCTTAACTGACAGTTGTTTTGGAATTTTACAGGCACAGCCATAGTGTTTTTACAATCAAGCTGTGCTTCCCATTATCTGTTCTATATGGCACTTTAAACTCTCCATTTTCTTTCTAGCCTTATAGTTAACGAAGAACAAATGAACGTCATTACATTCCACCCTTGTAATGTTCTTTATCTGTCATATTTGAAAATTTCTCTCACCTCCTCTTTCCTCAGCCAAAAAATATATAATTTATTTTTATTTCTACCTCTTCACCATCTTAGGAAAGTTACTTAAAGTTCTCTGAGACTCAGTTTCCTCATTTATAAAGTTGAAATAACTGTACATACTTTGATTTGTTAGGAAGATTGAAGATTACTATAAGTAACTGCATAGTACATACTGTGACACAGTCTGCTCTCCATAACAGGTCATTCCCTCCTTTTGATTAATATTGAAATTCTTATTGACTGACTTGTATCAAAAGACACATTATTCAATGTCTTAAACAAATGTCTTTTCTCAATTATATTGAAGCCAAGGCGTCAGCAGGTACTAATATTTCTTCTGGATCTATTCATTAAAAAGGACTGAACATAAACATAATTGTAAATCATAAGACTGAACATTGCCAATGCTCAGAAAGCAGAATCCTCCCCAAAGACAAAAAAAGAAAGAAAGAAAGAAAGATTTCTGCCTACCTTATTTTAAAAGACCAATAAAAATCTTCACTTAAGAAGTTTCACCTACAATTCCATGAAGCAGTAGTAGAAGAACATTTGGATTATGTTGTCCGAGACATTTATAGGGATATCCGAAAACTTCAAAAGATATTCAAGGTATTATTAACATTTTGTTACCATGACATCAAGGAGGAAGCTGTCACAAAATGGTAACAACACAACAAATGCTTATTCAGTGCCAGGTATTGTGCTCAAGAATTTGACATGGATTATTGTATTTAATCCTCACAACCCTACTGAGGTTGATATTACTATTAATTTTATTTTATTATCATTTTACAGATGAGAAATATCATCATGGTTAGGGCAAGCAGCATGGTCAAGCATGGGCAGTGAGTATTGGGGCTGAAAATTGAAGTGACCTACAAAAACCCATTATGCTCATTTGGACATAAGCTTAAAAAATAAGTCCTTTTTTTTTTTTCTTAAAGAAAAAGATATTCTTAAGGAAAAAAAAGGGGAAGAAAAAAATAACATGCAGGTGTACATGATGTTTTGATATATGGACACATTGTGGTGTGGCTAAATCAAGTGAATCAACATATGTATTACCTCACATACTTACCATTTTTTTGTGTTGTGAACACCTAAAACCTACTCTCTTAGCAGTTTTCAGGTATATAAAACATTATTCACTACAGTCACCATGTTATAAAACAGATCTTTTTAACTTATTCCTCTTCTTTAACCAAAATTTTAAAATATTGTCAATTAAAAAACAAATTTAAAAATCTAATTCAAGTTGTGAGTAAATTCTCTTTTAAAATTCACCTGATTATTAAATAACTTAAAGTTTATTTTTATGAATCTTTGAGTAGAGAGTTCCTAACAGTATAACTCACATATTAATGGGCTGTGTATTAAATGGTTTTATTTTCAGTTTTGCAGCACAGAAAACTGTTGAAATACCCATATCAACTTGATTTTTTTAACCTAATTCAGGTGTCCTTTGACATCTCTTAAATGTTGGGGGTAGGGGTCAGAGCCAGTTATCTGGCTTCTATTTCTGTCAATTGCTTAGATTTGTTCCTCTAGTCAAAACTGTCACCCCCAAAATTGGTGTGACACATGCTCACGCATAAAATGTTAAAATGAGTACATCCTTGTATTTGTATTTGTTTTCAACATCGCCAAGGTGCTATGGGAAATTAAAGTAACAAAATTAGAAAAAAAATAAAATTATTAAAAAACCAAAAAACTTTAATTCTAAATACTTAAAGCATTTATTTAAACTGTGGTTCTCAATTTTTTTGGCCTTGGAACCCTTAGAAACATTCTTTAAAATTACTGAAGACCTCAAAGAGCTTTTGTCTATATGGGTTATATTTAGCAATATTTATCATATTAAAAATTAAAACTGAGAAGCTTCTAAAACAGCAATTTAAAATTACAATTTAAAAACTCACTTCATGTTAACATAAATAATATATTTTTAAAATAATTATGATTGTTTCTTGAGAAATGTGGCGTTATTCTACATTTTTTCAAATCTCTGTAATATGTGGCGTAACAGAAGATAGTTAAATGTTCATACCTGCTTTACAATTCATCTATTGTGATATGCTATTTTCAAGTCTATTTTTTAAAAACTGACCTCATACAAAAGTGGATGGAGAAGAGAGGAATATTTTAATAGCCATTTTGCATAATTATGTCTGTTATTTATTGATACACCACCAAAACTTTACCAACATGGTTTTTAAAGGTTAGTTTCAAAGTGGAGTTTGAAACAATATCAACAAAATTTTTATTTTTTCTTTAATTTATATTTTAGAGCTGGGACCACAGGCACACACCACCACAACTGCTAATTTAAAAAATATATATATTGTAGAGACAGGCTCTTGCTATGTTGCCTAGGTTGGTCTGGAACTCCTAGCCTCAAGGTATCCTCCTGCCTCAGCCTCTCAAAGTGCTGGGATTACAG